GGGGGAGTGTGTACACAAAAAATTCAGGAATACATAATCATTTAAACAACCAAAGGGCACATTCTGCAAGTCTGCCTCCTGGCTGCCAGCACTCAGTCTTTCTCTTTCCGTGAGTTTAGAATCCTCAGCTTCTCTTTCTCTCCATGTCTTCATCTCTGCCTCCATCTCTGGTGTTGCTGCTTCTCTGGATAAGGTCCCACATTCCTCTCATGCAATTCTTCCTTGATGGTCCTAGGGTCCTCTGTTCCTGGACTATAAAATTAACTGCTCCCTTCTTTTTGTTACAAAACTTCTACCTTTATAGTTGTGACAGTCGTAATTAGTCATGATTAACAATTATTCACTATTGAATCATAAGACTCTTATCCCCATCTCTTTTCACCAGACCTGTCTAAACAAGATGAAAACTATTCAGTGGGGATTCTAACATTCACAGCACACTCTGAAATTAAACTCCCTCTTGAAAACTTGTAAGCCAGTCACTTTATTACCCTCTACCTCCCCTCCATTTTAGGTAGCCAATGTCTAAGTTGCCTACTCCTGTCAACCCTGTATGCAGAGGGGATAGGATTAATCATTGATGTGAAGACTCCTTCCCTCTCAGATGGTATTTTGAGCTACTACATCCATAAGTGTAGGTCAAGCTCATCAAATTATAGGCATTTACACTTGTTTCCTTTATCAAAAACTTTAAAAAAAAAATCTTCCTCTAGCCATCGAAGCTAGATCAAATGGGTATTATCTACAAGTTTGGGTGTTCTTGTGCGTCTCCTCTCACTTCCTATCAGCTGGATTCTTTATTTGAAAGATTTATTTTATCAATGAAAAAACTTGAGCTAACATTTGAAAAGTTAAGTGGCCTTACTACAAATGGAGCTCAGCCATGGTTGGCTGGCAAAAAGTGTTAACTGCATTTGTCAAGAAAAAATTCAATCAACTCAGTCTTGATCCAAGTGATTTAATTATATGCCACTGCATCATACACCAAGAAAGCCTCTGTGCACAGCCACTGTGGCTAAGCAGTGTGATGTCAACAGTAGTGCCATACATAAATTTTGTCAAAAGTAGAGAGTTCATCAGCTGCCAGTTTAAGGAGTTACTGAGTGATCTTGACTCTGAGTATGGTGATCTTGTTTATCTCTGTGAAGTGCAGTGGCAGAGTCAAGGGAATACGTCCATGAGGTCTTAGGAATTTCGGGATATAGTTAAGCAGTTCATGGAGAGGAAGGGAAAACCTGTCAAGGAACTCAATGATAGCAAGTGTGATAGCTATGTGATCTAGCGTTCATGGTGGATCGTTACCAAGTAAATCTTACAACTGAATGTCAATTTGCAGAATGCCAACCAGCCTATCAGCTTCCTGCTTTCAAACATGAAATCATTTGAAATCATGTGCAAAGTGAAACTCAAAAGGAGTAACACAGTGTATTTCCCCACTCTGGAAGGACAAAAGCCTTTTATGACAATGGAACATATTGGTGAATGTATGAAACTAATTGAGGCATTTAATGAAAGATTCATGAACATGAAAAGTAAACGCATGGAACTGAACATCTTTGCTCACCGCTCAATGTGGAACCCGATGATGTGCCTGATAATCTACAACATGAAATCATTCAGCTACAAAGCAATAATGAGCTGAAACCTAGGTACGTAACCTCTCCTGCTTAATTCATTAAATAATGAATTTTTGAGGAGGAATGCATTGAAATATGCATCTGTGTCAGAACAATTTACTGCTATAAGCAGTTCTTTTAAAAACTTAGCATCGCAAAGAATCTACTGAGCATCATCAATACCAGCTAACATCACACACCTCACCAACAAGAAGCAGTTCCAGCCATCACATTGTTGTTGTTGTTATGTCCCGTGGAGTCGGTTCTGACTTATAGCAACCCTGCACAGGGTTTCCGAGGCTATAAATCTTTACTGGAGCAGAAAGCCTCACCTTTCTCCCACGAAAGAACTGGTAGTTTCGAACTGCTCACCGTGAGATTAACAGCCTGATTTGTAACATTAGAGGTGAGTTAATAAATGTTTGACCAAATATAACAGGCTAATTTTTAAGCTGATAATTTTGTACGGCCTGCGAATGATGTTATAAGCATCCAAATGACTGCCAGAAAAAGGTTCCCACCCCTGCAATACAGGATTTCTTTTTCTCCTGCAGAGCAACTGGTAGATTTAAACTATTGACCTCGCAATTTGCAACCCAACTCATAATTCATAACGCTAACAGGGATCCTGCCCTTGAGGGTAACCTTAAACGAAATTATAGACAGCAGTAGCTAGAGTTAATATACCCAGGAATTATCAAGATTCCTCTCTTTTATTCCCCAAATAAGTACGTCAGAAGAGGTAGGTAGTAATTAGAGCAAAGAGTGAAGCGTCCAGCTGATGTGAAGTGACGGAAGATGCACAAGAACATCCATACCTGCAGATAGTACCCATTTGACCTGGCTTCAATGGCTGGATGATCAGAACTCGACTAGAAGAAGAAAGAAGAGGGGAAAAAAAAAAAAAGAGTAATCTGCTACAATTTGATGAACTTGACCTATAGTTATGGATGTAATAGCTCAAAAGAGGGAAATCTTTACAGCCAGGATCATTCCCACCCCCTCAGTACACAGCGTTGACAAGGATGGGCATCTTAGACATTGGGTACCCAAATTGGTGAGGTTACAAAGGCAAGAAGTGACTGGCTTACAAGCTTTCAAGAGGGAGC